TAAATCATATGGTTGCTTCCTTTCTTCTTATGCAAATAAAATTAGTAAAAAGAGGACGAAAGATACACTATCAGTTGCTATTTTTGTCAATTCATAGCAGGCTTACATTAGGTACTAGATTATATATATATATATCTCATTGTAATATATTTTGGACACAAACATTTTTAATAGTTGTAAAACATTATGAATATTCATTTATTACGTTAACACTATGTAGTTACATAGAATCACTTTCCAGTTTCGTGAATGGAAAGGCAGTGCCGACTCTTAAAATGTAGTAATTATTTAACGCGCCATTTTCACACAGCTGTACTAAATGTTCAATCTTTTGTCAAGATATACGAAAATGTGAAATTATAATATTGATAATAATATAGTAAACATCTTAATTAAACCTATTAATATAATAAATGCAAAAGTTTCTAACTATTGGTGAATGTTTGTTACTCTTTGGCGCGAAAACTTCATGATGGATTTGATTTTTTTTTTTTTTTTAGTACGTTTGTTCCGTTTGGAACAGGCTAAGGTCGGAGACCATGCTGCCTAGTCTTCAAAAAGATAATTTGTCTGGAATTTTATTTTTCTAATGTCGCTTCAATTATTGTCATAATCTTCAATATTTCATTTGTCAAATCCGGTAAGTACATTTTCATAAATATCTTTTCTTGAGTTTTCTTAAACCAGTGGATTTATCAAATTAAAAATAAATAATTATAAAAAATCATTGTCTTGCAATTCAATAAAAGTATTCTTATAGCTCCTTGAATGTTGTAGTAATATAAGTGAAAATAGCTTTGAAACAAGAAGGAAATCTTAAGAGAAGCGGGATTGAGTGCGGGATATTTTCGGGTTTTTTGAAGATAATCCTAAGTTCGTCAAACATAATGTGTCTTTGAATGACAAATTCAGAGCAATCAAAAAAAGGTGATGTAGAGATATGTATTTGAGTTACACCATGTGCATGATGGGGAAGCGATCATGCCCATTCGGTGCAGGTGTTCGTTGAAATGTCCGTGGCCGATTCGTAATCTACAAATATTGGTGTAAAATTTTCTGTTTGTGTCCTTTCCTTTGCAGAACCACGGTTTTCCAATACGCCAATTAATTTTGCGGTACCATTTGCCTTTAGTCTGTAATATTTGAGTCCAATGCTCCTCCCATTTAGTTGTAACGATTTTATGTATTCCAATACTACAATCTGAGTAACAAAGGGGTAAATCTTGAACACGAGCAGCACTTGAATTAATAATTTTAGCCAAAGTGTCTACTTGTTCATTCCCAAACACTCCAATATGTGAAGGGGTCCAGATGAAGATAATATCTTTTCCATATATAGTACAGAGATGATAATATTTATTACGAATTTCTTGAATTAAGTAGTTTGATGATGAAATGAATGTGTTATTTTTTAATGCCATAAGAACACTCATACTATCTGTAATTATAATCCATTTCGAATATAGTACCTGTTTTTCTATGTATTCTAATGCTAAAAATATAGCTTTTGCTTCTGCTGTGTAAATACTAGCCAAAGTTGAAATTTTATAACCGTAACCAAATCTATTTGACAAATCGTAAAAAGCCACTGAAGTGCTAAGTGCATTTTTGGAACCATCTGTATATATCTGCCTGTAGTCAATAAATTCTGATAAAGTCTCATACATATCGTGCTTTTCTTTTATGTCTTTACGTATAACAATTTTGATCTTACAGAACTTACTCTCATAAAGGCCATTATAACAAGGAAGTATCTTACTACTATAGGTGTTATATTCATCTCGTAAATTCAAATCATTGACAATAGTTTTATTCAAAAACATAGAAATGGGGCAATTTAATAATTTGAGTATGAGTGGGTTATTGGAAACTGAAAAAACTTTGAAGAGAAATTTGAGTTTTAGGTATTCGAAACGAAGAAGGATAGGAGGCAAATTACATTCTACTTGCATTGAGATAATTGGAGAAGTATACATAGCACCTAAAATAAGTCTTAAATTCATATTTTGAATTTTTTCGAGTTTTTCTACTAATTTATGTTCTGAGGCATAACAAAAGAAAGCGTAATCAAAATTACTTCTAACAAGAGATTTGTATATAATTTTAGGATCAGCTCCCCAGTTACGACCAATTACAGATCTTATTATATTAGTGGCTCTTAAAGCACGATCTACTAAGCAATCAACGTATAGATCCCATTTTAAATTTTGATGAAAAATTACCCCAGAAATTTAACGCTACAGTCTGTTGGAAGAGTTTGATTATTATATATAATATTCATTAATGGAACATATTTATGAACTTGATGAAAAACAACTACTTTACTTTTGGTTAAACTAATATCGAGGGAAAGAAGAGAAAAATATTTCTCAAGTCTTTTTAATGACTCATTTAACACTAATTGCATATCAATAATATTCTTTCCTTTTATATAAATTAATAAATCATCGGCAAATTGCAAGTTGTTCACACTGTTTCCTAAAATTGAATTAAGTTTATAGATATATAAAATATATAGTAGCGGGCTTAGAATACCACCTTGACATACTCCTTTAGAGCTTAACCTAGGTCCTATTAATTTACTATTTACTTTAACATACACTTCTCTATTACTAAGAAAATTATAAATCCATTCGATAAGTTTCATTGGAAGAAATGAGGATAAAATCGAAGATAGAACTGTTAAATTTACATTGTTAAAAGCTCCTACGACATCTAAAAAAACAGATAGAACATATTCATCGTTATTCAAAGCAGTACTAAGGTCGACATAGAAGTTCGCTAAACTTTCGCGCGCTGAATATCCACGGCGAAAACCAAATTGATTCGATGGTAATATACTATTACTTTCAATAAAGAACTCTAAACGCTGTTTAATTAATTGTTCGAATAATTTGCCTGCACAGGACGTCAATGTTATAGGTCTATAGGAGTCGAAATTTGTAGGATCTTTACCGGGTTTAATTACTGGAATCAAACAATCCATTTTCCATTCTGGTGGGATAATACAGTCCTTCCATAAATCGTTAAAAATTTGTAAGAGTTTAGTAAGGTTTATTTTATTCAGCAATCGAAACATATTGTATGTTAAGCGATCAAGGCCACTAGCTGTATCTTTTCTAGATTTTACTGCACTGGATATTTCATCAATTGAGAATGGGTCAGTGAGAAATTTTGGGCATGAATTAACAGAATTAAACTGTTTGTCATCAAAAGGTGAGTGTACAAAATCAGGAGTATATTTGCGTAAAAAATCATTGACCCATGATATATCTTTAAAATGATTTTGACGATGTTTTGAATTTAGTTTTCTCATATTTTGCCAAACAGTGGAAATTGGTGTTAATCTATTAAATTTGGAACAAAATTCCTGCCACCCCTGTTGTCTTACTTGCTTAATTACTAACTTTTTAACAGCTTGAACTCTTTTAAAATTTATGTAATTATCGAGTTGGATTTATTTGTTTAAACCTAAGGTAAGCCGCTTTACTATCATTGACAGCTGTCGCACACCTGTTATTCCACCAAGGTACTGCAATATGTTTGTGCCTCTTTGAAGTATTTGCACCGCTATTTGATAAGTTCCTACGTGGAACGGAACGTTCCACAGCTGTCAAAATAATTTTACAGAACCTATTGTAATTGTTTAAGGGTTCATTGACATCATACTCGAAATCCAAAAGTAATTGATTAACAGTTTCAGAATAAAGATCCCAATTAACGAGACGTAGGTTTACACGATTTAACAAAAGTTTATTAACTTCATCTATAGGAGCATGTTGTTCACCTGACGGAGTTGATGAAGAGTTCTTTGTGTTTATTTTAGTAAAAGTCGGCAGGTGATAACTTCCTAACGGATCATCATGAACCGACCACTCGCATTTTAATGATATGGATGGGGATACCATAGTTAAATCAAGGCCATTGGGTCTCCAAATATGAGAGCCAACAGTAGTAACTTGCTTATCATTTAATAGTACCAAATTACATTCATCTAAACAATCAAGAATGTCTTTACCTCTTGTATTAGTGGAGGTACAACCCCACATAGTATGATGTGCATTTAAATCTCCAGATATGATAGTGGGTTTAGGAAGAGACTCAAAAAGAACTTAAATTTGGCTTTAGTAAAACTAGGTGTACTATTGGTAGGACAGTAAATACTGGCAACTGAATACCAAGAATTATTAACTTCAATACTAATAGCTATAGTTTGCAAAGAATTGTCGAAAAAAGAGTGAAGTTTTTTATATCTAATACTATTATGTATAATAATCGCTACTCCATTGTGGTTATTACCACAATCATTTCGTTCTATACAATAATCTTTAATTTTTAATTTGTAATGTGGTTTTAGCCAAGTTTCTGAGATGAGAGCAATGTGAATATGATGTTCATTTAAAAATTGTGTAAAAATATGTCGATTGCTCAGTAGGCTCTGAGCGTTCCACTGTATGATAGTTAATTGGTCTCGATTGAATTTTGTGAAATAGGTCTATTACCAAAAGTATCATATAACACATTCAAAACACTTTTAGTGTTAATAGATGTGTTCTTTGTGTTATGTAGTGAAATAAGTTTGATTATGCTTTCTATTAAAAGTGATAAACTCTTGTTATCAGAATTTAGAATTGAAATTAGGTCTACATTTTTTTTAGGTTTGTTACCCAGTTTAGGAAATATTTCAGTGCTAAGTATATCTCCAAAAGAAGCAGGTCTGAATTTAGATCTATTTTCAGCAATTTTCTTTTGTTTAACAGGGCATTGCGGTGATACACTTGTGTGATTTCCATTGCAGTGTACACAAATAGCGTTTTCCATTCCAGTTGTACAAGTTTTATAATTATGCTCACCTTTGCAGATGCTGCAACGCTCAGAATTCTTACAGAATTTAGCTAAATGTCCATACCTCAAGCACCGGTAGCATTGTTTAACTGGTGGTATATATGGAGTGACATTGTCCAACCTCCTTTATCCAGATTTCAGGTAATACAGATGCAGCAAAAGTAATTGTCACGGTTAGAGTTGGCTGTAACACATATCCATGAGTCAAGGTATTTTTTCTTAAAATTCTTTTAATAGCAATAATTTTCTTAGAACTCGATATCATAGTATATATTTTTTTATTAGATATATTTGTAGGTACATTTCTAATAACGCCTGTAACTTCTGTTGAAGAAGCAGGAATACTGGCCTTAAAATGGTAGTCATTTAAAAAAGTTTTATTATTTAAAAAAAACATTGGCTAAGTCTTTTTTTTGAAAGTATATCCTTTTGAATTTATTTATAGATCTAAGATAAGTTACCCCTTTATTAAATCGTTTTAAACAGGAGGAGAGTGAGAGCAAGTCTCTGGATCCAATGGTTTTCTGACTATCTGAGGATTCTACAAAGACAACAAGTTCTGTCCCAGGGGATTCCTCGGGATATCTTCTAATATAATCTGTGACGTAGTAAGGTTTATACTTATCGGCCTTATCAATTTCAGATTCTGAGTCAGTAGAAGTATCTTCCGAATATATATCCTTGTCATTACAAGGTTCATGGTCTACATCACCTGAATCGTCATCTTTTTTTTTCATTTTTCTACAACTGCGCTTCCCCATGAATGCTAATTATATTACTGTCGCTGAATTTAGTGAAAATATAATATTTTATTCAATAATAAGAATTGATAGAGATAGTTTTAATAAATTAATAAAAAAAATTTAAAAAACCCGCTTGTTATTATTCGAGTTTCCCGCCTTTTCTTGATGGATTTGAATGAAATTTGGTATACAGGTAGATTTTTTTTTTTTTTTTTAATGGATGATATTGGAATAGTAACCCCACCCGCGAGAGAATCGGTATACACCGGCGGGGCACCAGTGAAGGATGATAGGTGAGGATGAAGTAGGTGTTAGCCCATCGTGACGAATTCAATATGAATTGTTCACGATGGTTTCCAGGGGGAACCACGTGGAGGTCGACCTAGTAAGGTATATTGCTAGCAATGGGGCTGTCAAACTCCATTGCTAACAATCATTTTCTCCCCTCTCAGGTAGATTATATGTAAGGTTATATCCTAACTTAACATATTATGTGCTGACGCGAACATACTAAATAAATTTATGTGTGTAAGTTTTTATTTATTTATGTATTAATGTTATATTATTATTCATGTACTTTTATTATTTACATATGTAAGTATATAGAGCTGTTTTTATTGTATTATATATTCAATTATTTACTGGGTATTATTTAGTTTATCTTTAATTGTACGGTTATTACCCTTATACATCCTACAGTTTTCTTTCAGCTTCTCAAAGGTTGACTGTAAGAGATCCCTTTATGAGATAAGTCCGCCATTGTATATTAAATCATTTACCAATGTTTAATCTGAGTTATGTACAATAAAGATTTTACAATACAATACAAATAGTTGCATTTGTGACAGAAATCACTAATTACAAAATTAATATAATTTTATAAAGAAAACGCAGTATTTTGGAAAAAAATATAAGTTTTTTTTTTGTGTAAGCATTTGTAGAGATAGATACTGTTTAATTATTATCGAATAAGTATATCGCCGTGTGGTCCCAGCATAGAACATTTCCCATGGGTGTTAAGGGAACCTAGTAGTCGAAGAATGGGCAGCAACGTTCCTATTAAAACATCACCAAGGCCTAATTGTGGTTAAAAACCCACCTGCCAAACGACAATTAATAGCAAAACTCTCTAAAGAAAAGGTACATGTTCAGCAGTGAACAGATAACGGCTGGCATGATGATGATGATGATGATATTAGAAAAGTATTCACTTCAACAAAACATTCCAGTAATTTAATACATTATTTATTTTATACCACGAGGGGAAGACTTTGTATAAAAGTCGTTTGTTTGGACACCTCTGTCCCATTTCTTCCAGTCAACCTAACACAGTGGCATAGGAAGTAGTGGGTGGGCAGCAGTAGTGCAAGACAGAAATTAAAATAAATATTTACATAAATTATAAATCATTATATATATTTAAAACATACAATGAATAATAATATATATATATATATATATATATATATATATATATATATATATATATATATATATATATATATATATATGTTAAATACAACATATAAATATCAAATAAAAGAGAACACAATGATGACAGTCTTCTAATCATTTTTATATTTAAACTAAATTGGAAAGATAGAATGATTTTAATCTTTTTTTGAAGGAACTACTAGACGGGCTATTCTAAATACTCACGGGAGGGGGGAAAGGGATTGTTAGTGAAAGCCCCATTACTGGCAATATACCCTCTCAGGTTGACCTCCACGCGGTTCCCCCTGGAAACCATCATGTTTAATTCTTGTCGAATTCATCATGGTGGGCCAACTGACCTGCTTTCATTCTCACCTATCATCTTCCACTGGTGCATCGTCGGTGTATACCGATAGCACGGGAGGGGTTACCAATCTATTTTCACCCATTAAAAAAAAAATACGTAATAAGTTTGTTCCACAGCTGTACATCACAATGATCACCTTATATTTATTTATAATGTAAATATAAAAAAAAATGTATTAAATATTTTAAATATTTTTTTTATTATTATGTGTTTTTTAATGTGAAATTAAGGACTGATTAAATCTATCTTTCTTTCTTTCTTAACATATTACTATCGTTTATTTATTGCTGTGAGTACCAGTTTTTTCCCTGTTGCCAACACCAATCGATTTGGTATTAGCAGAACGCTGAGATGTCCAGACGCGATTACTTTCCGAGAACGTAACGCGACATACGCGGACAAACAGACGGATGTTATGACTATACACATATCAATATACATTGCTGAATCTAGATTGTGTCAGATGGTAATAAAAAAAATCACATTTGTTTACAATAACGCAATAGATTTTTGGCATTTTTTTTTGTGTACTTAAATATAATGCTATATCTTCGTCGAATGAGAACCGATGTTGCTGATTCATTTTGTATTGCATAGAATTTACCATTCATCCATATTGATACTATATGAATTATAGTGCTAAATTCCTGTTTTTTAACAGTATTTAAACAAAATAGTTTAAAAATTTTCTTTATAAAACTACTACATATATTAATCATGATTTACTATTTTGTCAAAATTATTAAATAATCAAAAACAGGAGTAAATTCATTAAATTGAATAAAAGAAAATATATACAGTCAAACATAGAACTCCCACCTTTTTTGAAGTCGGTTAATTATCAAAATACGTTCAGAAATGACAAAGATATAAAGTATGTTTTATGCAACTTAGAAGAGCACACAAGCTGACGGCCCACCTGATGGAAAGTGGTAACCGTCGCCTATAGACATGAGCAGTACCATGGACATAACAGAGTATTCTGTTTCGCCCATGATACCTCCCATGCGTTGCCATTCCTGAGGACTCCGGTGTTATTCCTCTGTACCCTGTAAATTCACTGCCAAATCCCACCCTTCAAACCGAAACACAGCCATGCAAACACAACTGGTTCACGCTTGAAACACGAATGGTATTATATGATTACAGGTGTAAGCTGCCTTTAGAAATGATAAATAAATCGCTTAAAAATATGAAAACTTCGGCCTCGTAACGATTTTATTATATTATAATTTATATAAAATTATAAATAATCATCATTGTAATGCAAAATCTTAAGAGACTTATAATCCGGTGTTCCCCATTATGCGGCACAATAACTTAATCTCGAAGTTAACAAAGCTTAACAGAACGAATGCCACGAATCAATGTCACCTACATATATATATATATATATATATATATATATATATATATATATATATATATATATATATATATATATATATATATATTATACCATTACGTGGTTGTATAATGCTTGACCTTGGCAGTCACGCCGACTCTATAATCTATGGCTTGACTTTGCGGTTGGGGTTGTCAACTTTTGAAAATATATTTATATAATTTTTAGATTTAATTTTTTTGCTTTAAAGTTTTTTTTTAATTTTGAAATGAAAATAATGTAGTTAAATTAGGATTTGTGAAACAACGTGAAAATCTTTGAGAATGTTTACCAGAGGGAGACTTTGTACAAAAGTCGATATTTATATAATTCGTGTTTCAACCGTGAAGCAGTTGTGTTTGCATGGCTGTGTTTCGGTTTGAAGGGTGGGATATTGAATTTTTTTGAGTCCTCAGGAATGGCAACGCATGGGGGGTATCATGGGCGAAACAGTATACTCTGTTATGTCCATAGTACTGCTCATGTCTATAGGCGACGGTTACCACTTTCCATCAGGTGGGCCGTCAGCTTGTTTGCCATTCTAAGTTTTATAAAAAAAAAAATGTGTTATTTTATATAGATTTTTCGATGTTTGAAATGCAATATCTGTAACTTAAACTATAATAATAATTTATTTTTATTTATAAATGTTTGATTTCATGATTTAGGCCGCTCACAGCTTTATTATTGCTTTTTTTCTAGTATTAATTTAAATTTTTTCATGGACTTTAAAAATAAAAAAAATTATATCTATTTTTTTTTTAAATATGTAGGTATGTTGTATGTAAGTATGTACTTCGTTAAGTATACTGCAATATTTTCAGTTATGTTTAAACAGTTTTAACATTCTTTTTAACTAAAGCACTTATTTTCCATACAAAAAATGCTAATTAAATTATTATACCTACTCCTTTTTTAAAAATTAGTTTCTTTGACAAAATATTAACATTTACTAAGTAAATATCAAAATCCTATTTTTAAAAAGCAAATGTATTTTTTGTTGATTATTCTCAATTGAAATGACATTCCAAATTTTAATTTAATAAAACAATAATTAATTAAAAAAAATATTTCAGGTAAAATTACTTCCTTACACACGTAGTATAAAAATTTAGAGTATAACGTACTCGCATAATATAAATTGACAACCCTAAGTAATATAAAAACATAATTAGTAGAGTTAATAATTTCACTACACACCGTCAATATATATTTTGTCATTGTGATTGACTTTATTATTAATTTATAACCTACTGTATAAAAATTATAAACATCTGGAAGAGATTGCTTAGCGATAAGGCCGCCTTTTGTATCACTTCTCATTAATATTTACTGTATTTGTTATTTCTCTTATTACTTGGTGCAATAAAGTGTAAATAAATAAAAAATAAATAAATAAACATACATACGTGTATATTGGGTAACATTACTGTAAATTAAAAATGAGGTACAGACAAAAAAATCACTATTTTTGAGCGTTTTCTCTCTTGGCCTGAATTCATATATTTATTTATTTATTTATTTAACTCATTTATTGCGCCATAAATAAAAATATACAATGACAAGTGAATAATTCACGTATTTAAGTGTTTATGTACACAATTGAAAAATTCTAATTAATGTTAAAGTTTTTTTTTTTTTTTTTTTAATAATTATAATTCATGATTTATTCTCAACTCTGTAAATTTTAACCATAACTTATTATTATTGATTGTTATCATTTAATGTAATCAATTTTATTAATACTGTACCATTTTACTATTGGCAAAAATAATATTTACACACCTATGTAATAGTAAATACCAGAGGGAGACTTTGTACAAAAGTCGATTGCTTGGGTAGCTCTGTCCCATTCGTGTTTCAACCGTGAAGCAGTGTTTGCATCGCTGTGTTTCGGTTTGAAGGGTGGGATATGGCGTGAATTTACTGGGTACAGAGGAATA